GGTTAAGTGTCTGCCTTCAGCTCAGGTCATGATCCCAGGCTCCCTGCTCAGCGTGGAGTCTGCTTCTCCCTCTGCCCTTCCCCCTGCTCATGCTCTCTCTCTCAAATAAATAAATAAAATCTTTTAAAAAAATAAATAAATAAATAAAATAGGCCTTATGTTCTCAGCTGCATGTCTTAACCCTCGTGTTTGTTAGAAGCAACAGAGTGAATCTCTTACTGGTCAGATGTTCAAATCAAGTTAGCAGTCAGTCTAAGATTGTTGTAGAGCACCTAAATTCAGGAATTTTCATTCAATCATATTTATTTCAAAATAGCAAACTTTTCAGTACAAATCAGACCTACTTTATAATTGTGGTATGTGTTGAAACATTTATATACTAAGTTATAAACTTGATGAAGCAGCTAATAAAACTTGTACTCATAAGCCCTTTAACTAAAATTACTAAAAAAGAGGTGGAAAATGGTCTTTTTAAAAACTTGCTTCAGTTTTTGGAAAGAAGCATTGGCGTTATTGCTTCCAAACTTGCAATACATAATTCACCTTCTTAGGTATAATATCTAAATGTGTCATGTAAAAATTTTATTGGTATATTGTATGTCAATATATACATGTGTGTGAGGTGTGTGGACACACATAAACTTATCTCTGAAGATTATTTTGTCCTTTTTGTCTCTACAGTTAGGGAAACTAAGTTAAGTCAGTGTTGGAATCTGCCAAGCTTTCGAAGTTTACTTTCTAAAATTTCTAATTAACTGAATGGATCAGTCCATTGTTCTCTTGGTGTATTTGCAATGAGATGCCTTTAGAAGACTGAGGGGAACAGATAAAGTTTCAGAAACAAATCTGTGTTTGATTCTTTTGTTGTGGCCTCACTGGCAAGTTGTCTTGCTGGGCATCTGGAGTGCATGGGCTTGCTGCTGAGTCTCTCTGCCTCCGGTCCAGCAGGGACACTTGTAAGTCCTTTTGGGGGCATCTGTGAGTTTAATGAGCAGGGTGAGAAATGGATTGAAGGTTGTGTTGGCTGTGTCAGAGGTGTCCTGGCTGGTTGGGTAAGGAGGAGGTGACAGTCCTGTGGTGGAGAAAGATCACAGTCCTATGAGCTCTTTATTGTTCCCACCTGTTACTTGGCCATCCTCTTGTTCTGTTTGTTCATTGTGTTCCTTATTTTTTGTGGACCTGAAGCCTAAATTTCGTAAAATTGTCTAATATTTTTTGGATCCCTTTCAGAGCTTACAGTAAATATTCTATAAATAGTTGGACAATAAGACTCAGAATCTTTGAGTGTGAATCTTTGAGGGTCATAAATTCTGTGAATGTGATAAATGAAAAAAACAGGTTCAAAGGTTTTAGGGTGACTTATCAAGGTCTCTCATTTCTTCCCCTCCTTTCTTTCTCTCCCATTCTTTCATAGGGCCATGGTCCTGTATTGGTTTAAATGAAATATTGTGCTTTGAATTTACACATGGCAACTTCAAAAATAGATCCACATGAACATTTTTGTATGTACAGTATATTCTAAGAGTTAGCATATCTCTTAAATAATAAAGATTATTCCATTTTTATAAGAAGCTTCAACCCTTGTAGTTGATAAAGTAAAAATATGGTTTGCTGTGAAGGACAGTTTTGCATCTGTTCTGTTCATGATGCTTATCACAGTACTTATCATGGTGCGTGGAAGAAAGAGGACACCCAGTGGAGACTTGAATTGAATGAATGTGTAAGAGGGAGGGAAGAAGGAAGGGAGGTCAGCTGGGAGGAAGGAAGGATGGATGAACATGTCTGGTTTTGGCTTTCAAAATACCCTTTCCATGACCAGGGCCATGGAGTTCTTGGGTAGCTGGTGGTCATGGACATAGGTCTATGCAGTGGCCATTGTCAGCAGAGCAGGCGGCTGTGTGCTGTGCTGCCTGCTCTTGCTGTCTCCTCCCAAGGCCCCAGCTTGGAGGGCTTCTGGAGGGCTCTTTCCCCCACTTGCTCTCAGGGCCCATCTGCTTTTTGTTCTCTCAACTGTCCTAGACTTCAGCAGAGAGAGAAATATGCAAGATTACAGATTGTAATACTGTGCATGCATCTTTTCCTTTCTCTGTGTCATCAGTGAAAAAAATATATATATACTTACGAATAGGACAAAGTGTTTTTGTTTTGTTTTGTTTTGTTTTCATTTCTGTTCTACTTTGGTCCTCTCCTCTCCCCTGTATGTTTTGTATTTCAGTGTTGTGACATCGTGGTGCAGGGTCATCTAGTCTAGCAGGTGTTTCTGGGATGACTTCTTATCTAGGGAGCCCCCTGAGCTTTTCCATTTTGGGCTTTGCTGATTGCTTTCTCCATTTTTATACCCACTGCACACACATAAATAATGCAGTCCTAGGGTTGAAGTGTTTGTTCAGGCAATGTGTAGTAGTGAAAACATCCAGAAAGACTGGGTTTTTAACAATTATTTTGTATCTGAATCTCTTTGTTCTTCAAATATTAATCCTTGAAGAATTTTTTCATGAACTGATAAATAAGATAATGGGGTGATACCGGCCCAGTGTATGTACTGTATTATGTGCTTAGTAAATGGTAATTTATAGTTACTTTTTTAAGTTAAAATTTTTGTGGAGATAATTGTGGAGTCAGATACAGCAGTAAGAAATAATACAGATTCCTGTGTACATAGTACCCAGTTTCCTCCAATGGTAGCAGTTTGCAAACCGAAAGTATAATATCACAACCAGGATATTGACATGGTTGAAATCTACAGAGCTTTTTCAGATTTCCCATTTACTTTGTGCATGCATGTGTGTGTATTTAGTTCTATACATTTTTTTGCTTTTTTTTAACTGTAGTAAAATACAAATAACATAAAATTTATCATCTTAATAATGTTTAAGTATACAGTTCAATGGTATGAAATACCTTCTTAATGTTGTGCAACCATCACCAGCATCCATCTCCAGAACTCTTTTCATCTTGCATAACTGAAACTCTGCCTCTGTAAAATAGTAACTTCCTATTGCCCCTCTCTTCAGCCCCTGGCAACTATCATTCTGCTTTCTGTCTCTCTGGATTAGATTGTTCCAAGTAACTCATATATGTGGGGTCATACAGTATTTGCCCTTCTGTGGCTGACTTATTTCACCCATCATAATGTCCCCCAGGTTTCTCCACGTCATAGCATGTGTTGGAATTTCCTTCCTTTTTAAGACTGAATAATATTCCATTGTATGTATTTACCCCATTTTGCTTACCCATTCATCCATCAGTGGATACTTGGTAGCTTCCGTGTTTTAGCTATTGCAAATAAAGCTGCTATGAACTATACAGTTTTATTACCTGAGGAGGTTTGTGCATCCATCACTACAGCAAAAACCTTAAAGGTTCCAGCATCACAAGGATTACTCAACTTGTGTTATCCTGTAACCACCCTCCCGTCCCTTCTTCCTCCATCCCTAAGCCCTGGCAACCACTAATCTGCCCTCCCTTCAAAAATGTTGACTTTACACAATGCTGCATAAATGGAATCATATAGTAGGTAATCTTTGTGATTGGCTTTTTCACTCAGCATAATTCTCTAGAGCTCATCCTATCATCAATAGTTATTTCCTTGGTATTGTGGAGTAGTATTCCATGCTATGGATGTATGACAGTCTGCTTTATTATTTACCATTGAATGCCATCTGGGCTGTTTCCAGGTTTTGGCTACTATGAGTGAAGCTTTTCATTTGTGTACAGATTTTTGTAGGAATGAACCTTCATTTCTCCAAGAGTGCAGTTGCTGTTTTTTTTTAAGACTTAGCAAATTTATTTTGCATGAGCCACAGTCTCCTTGGTGATGCAGATATGTGTAAATGGAGATGAAAATAATGTCATGTGGACCTTTTTAATAATAGCCATATTAGACAACTTCAGACAATCATGTTAAGAACATTGATAACTTCTTACTGCTTCTTTTTTTTTCCTTTAACCTCAATTTCTCTGAAGTGACTCTACAATCTCAAAAATATCGTTCATTCTGAGAACTTCAGATCATGTTGCCCTTCTTTTTCTGCCTTACTTTTCCCATGATCAAGCAGTTGCTAAAGACCTCTTGATTTTAGCATTGTAGAGATCTTTATGTCATTCTACTCTTAATTCATATCTCTGTCATCTGAGTTTCAGCAGCCATAGCGTCTTTATATTACTAATATAGTGTCTTCCCTGGAATCTCTGTCCTAGGAGAGGAGCCTCTGCAACCTGGTCACAGCTGACTTTTACAGTTATATGTCCCAATACTCCTCTTCATGGCCATGACCATGTCCACCTCAGGGCCTTTGCAGATGCCCAGGAAGAAGCCTTACTCTCCTTCCTCATTCATAATCAGCTGTTAGGAGAACTGCAACCTCCTCACAGGAGGTCCTTTTGGTATATGTTATTCTAGTACCCTGTACTTTTCTTTCACAGCACTTATGGTAGTTTTTTTCATTTTAGTTGTATAAAACCCAGGGCCCCACATGGTTCAGCATGGTCATAGAATCCCCTCAAAGGAGTTGACCAGAAAATATGTCTCTTAAAACAATTTAAATCTCAACATCGTCTATGGTAAATGACTTTAAGCCTCCGTCTTCCAAATATCAGCTCTTAACCATGGTATTACCTCCTTACCAGGTGAGTCTTGAGGTAGGATGATGTCTGACCCAGCCCTTCCCATTAACCTCTCTGAAAACTGGATTGGGATCTTTTCTATCTTTGTCATCTTAGAACCTGGAACATTGATTGGTAGATATTAGGTGCTCCATTAATGGTTGTTAGAAACATGATGAATGAATGAACAACCTACATTTATATGTAGGAGACATTTGGTAAAACTCTGACAAAATGAGTGAATAATATAAATCTTTCTTAATTTTCCAGGTGGTTTTTGAAGTGATAACTTCTGGACATCAAGGCTACCTTGTTATTGATGAAGTGAAGGTATTAGGACATCCGTGCAGTAAGTTGCCTCAACTCTTACACATTTGGGTTCATCGTTGGGGGCATATTTATGTTACAGATTAAGAGATGACACTGAAACCTGGGGAGAAGTTATCCTGCTAAAAGAGTTCCTGACAAGTCTTTAAGTGTTGCTTTGTTAGCCCAGAAGTCCAAAAACATCTATTTTGTGTGTCATTCATTGTATGTAACTGAGCGTCTCTAAAATGAAGATTAGGAATGAGGACTAATGGCCTGCTTTGGTATAATCAAACATCCTTGCAATGATCTGTGGATTTCCCTTTTAAATAGAAGCACAGGTTGAACATTGAGAATCTGTGCATTTTGCTCCTAAATTCAGTGCATTACTGGCATACTTTCAAACAGCATGACCCCAAACAGGCCTGGGATCTGTCAAATACAAGAAATGTACCTGAACCACTTAGGGACTCCAGAAATGGCCTGAACTTCATCTTTTAAAAATTAATACTTTAAAAATTCCAATGGGTGATAAACACACCCCCTTTTTTTTGCTGTTCAGTATGAACAGCTATTAACAGGCTGTCATATTTGTATCTGAACCATTGTCACTAAATCAAAATAAAATATTGCATGTAAGCCAGTCCCATTTCTCCCTTGCCTGTCCTGGGGCCACCACTGGGTGAGCTTGCTGCAGCCTCCTCCATCTGTAAGGTTCGTATTCCACAAGCAGCAGAAACAGATGTAGCTGCTTCAAGCAGAAAAGCTTTGTATAGAAATGGAATTGGTGGCAAATAGAATCACGGGGAACATTGGTGATCTAGGCTCCAGTAATGGGTGGGAACCAAAAGAGAGACTGCAGCCAGAACCATGGTGACTGCTATGCCTGAGGGGCCATCTGTGGGGGCAGGGGTGCTATAGCCTACTCTCTGGCCACCTGACCCTTGTCACCTGCCGGAACATTTGTCACTGTCTCCGTACCTTTGCCTCCTTGGTCTTAGGCTCAAGACCCCGAGTGGGATTATCAGGGTTGGCAAGCTAGATCATGTGCTCATTCCCTTGCTAGCAATCGGGTCATCTAGGAAATCCCACTGTGGCTTTTTTTGCCTTCTGTCCTGGGAGTTAGGCCAAGACTTTTACCAAAAAACATACAGTGGGGCATTTCCCAACCCCAGAATAGTGCTTTGAGAGCTGAGCAACCAAAATACTGCAAATGTCTGTGTGTGGGCATGTGTTTGCATGTGTGTGCATGCTTGTGTACATGCATGGAGGTGTGCTTTTTCCCATAATCACTCTGGTTCATAAAAAGTAAGAAGGTAATGTTTACCTTCTGTAAATTGGAATGAATAGTATCCAGCTGTACAAATTACTCTGTATTTTTTTTCTCCACTTAGCGTTATGTTTTTTAGGTCAATCCATGATATTATATCATATGAATATACTATGCTTTATTTTTCTATTCTTCCACAAACATTTAGTTTTTTCTCCCAGTTGTTCTTTATGACAAACATGGCTACAGTGAACATCTGTGTGAGTGCCTCTGGGTGCAATGTACAAGAACCTCAGTAGAGTATATTCTTAGAAGCAGAATGGCTGGGATGTAGGATAGAAACACTTTTAGTTTTACTAGATGCTGCCAAATTGCTATGAAAAGTGTCTGAACCAGTTTATATTCCCACCAGTGCACATGGGAGTTTTATTTTCCCTATATCCTTGCCCAAAATTGATATTGTCAGACTTTAAATCTTTGGCCGTGTGAGGGATGACAGCCTGCTTTATTTTTAGGGTCCCCAGCATTAAAGAGAGAGAGAGAGACTGGCTGGTTTAAACATTCCTGGATTTGTGCTGGTGGTCCCTACCCCAATTCCTGAGAAAGTGGTTATACCTGCAATGATATTAAAGATACAAACATTTGCAGAAGTGTCTCTGCTTTTGTTGCCTGGTTTGAAGAGATCATGAGCTCATTCTCTGTGGTAGTTACTGAGAGCCCTTTGTGGTCGTTATCTGATGAGGGTATCATGGCACAGTCATCTGATTCCATCCAGAGGGATTTTGCTCTCTCTGTGATCTTTATCTGGTGCTCAGAGCTTGCCACAGCACCAAAGTTCAAACACCGCAATCATCTTGTTCCTTACTGAGGCAGACATTACTTTTGTAACACATTACATTTGCCTTTCTTCTGTCTGCAAGACTGGTGAGTTCAAGAAGAATTTCTCTCCCTTTTTTTTCTGAAAAGTCAGGAAAACGAACAATGCTGTACCTAACTGGAACAGCAGGGCAAATTTAGCAAGCGGAATATAATTACCTGAGTTGGAACTTGGCCAAATCCTCAGAGTAATAGCCTTGGGCTTGGAAAAATGCCATGGGATCTTCTAATGTACATAAATGATCCCACCTCAGATTCACCTCTTACCAGGAGGTTAAAGAAAATAGAGGAATGATGCATGCCTGCTATGTGCTGAGTGCCCCCCGTTACTCAGAGCAACCTTCGCCCTGCTGCAGATGCAATGGATGAGGCCAAGTTTGCAGGGGTCCGTCTTGTTCTCTATCCTGGGTTTGTTCTACATCTGGCCATCGGCCAACAAAATAGCTCCTGATGTGTGGCTCCTCCCATGCTGCAGCATCTGAGTCATTGTCTTCAGTAAGATATAAAGACTTACTAATGCTTGTCCTTCTATCAGAGCCTCCCAAAATGTGTCTCCCACAGTTTTGTTCATTCTTTCCAAGCTCAGCTGCCTATAGCCATAGAAATGGTGTTTATGGTCTCTCCTTTGGAGAATACTGGTACTAATACCTAAATGGCTTTGCAAACTGGTCTTAAGAGACACAGAATTGCAAAACAGGCTCTGTACCAGGGTAATGTATGGTACAACAGCATTTTGAACAGTAAGCTTTAAATGGTTTTGATGATGGGCCTTCTGTAATTATTTTTTCCTGAATCTCTAAGTTTATGGGGAAAACATGCAGATAAAGATTTTAAAGAAAGCAATAGTTTGGTCTTAAAATGTAAAGCTTTGCAGGTAATATTTTAGGATTTCCCAGCAAGATTTCTAAATAATAATCAATTACTTTGAAATCATGATAGTCATTAGATTTAAATCATAAGGGGGCATAAATATTTCATATCTAAAACTCTGCTTTCCAAAAGATTCAAAACTGCTGAACTTTATTTACTTCACTCTGAAGGCTCCTGTTTGGACTTATATAGGTTTATCAGCAGGCATTTCAACATTTTTTTAAAAGTACTTGTTCTGTTAAGAGTATACAGTTGCTCATAAAATTGATTTTAATGTAGTGACAATAAAATGCAGGATCAGCATGAAATGTGGATATGGCTGTGCAGAATCAGCAGCTCGATGGCTTAAGCCCATGTCTAATGAACACAGATAATTTTTGTATTTGGTATGCACACTCAAAATATATTTTGAATTTGGTTCAATAATCCTAGTAGGAGAACCTGAAGAAGCATTTTATCAGCTTCATAATGTTGTCTCCTGTTTTTAAGTAGGTTATAAGCTATGCATGTTGGGTATTTCTGTTATTACCTTGTAGTGCTGGTGTATATTTTTATGTCTTACAAGCCATACAGCATTTTAACAGGTTTATTGAGATATAATTCACATATCATACAGTTCACCCACTTAAAGTGTACAAGTCAGTGTTTTTAGTATATTCACAGAGTTGTGTAACCATCACCACAATCAACTTTAGAATGTTTTCATCACCCCAAAAAGAAACCCTGCACCCACTGTTAGGTCGGTTCTCCATGCCCTTGGCCTCCACCCTCAGCTGTAGGCAATTACTAATCTACTTTCTGTCTCTGTAGATTGGCTTGCTTTCTCATAGTTCATTTAAATGGAATCATACAATACATGGTCTTTTCTGTTTTCTTTCACTTAGCACATTCATGGTTCATCCAAGTTCTAGAGTGTTTCAATACTTCATTCTTTCTTGAAGCTGAGAAACAGTCCATTGTATGATAATACCACATGTTCTTTACACGTCCATCAACTGATGAACGTTTGAGTTGTTTCTAATTTGAGGCTATTGGGACTAACACTGTGATGAACATTTCCGTTACAGGCTTTTGTGTGGACATTTGTTTTCAACTCTTTTGGATATATACTTAGGAGGAGGATTGCTGGGTCACAGAATAACTCTATGTTTAGCATTTTGGGTAACAGTGAAATTGTTTATCAAATTGGCTGCACCATTTTACATTCTGAGGAGCAGTGGACTCTTGCCAGTATTTGTCATTTGTCCTTTTTTTTTTCTTTTTTCTACCTCAGTGGCTTTGAAGTGGTATTTCCTTGTGGTTTTGATTCCCTAATGGCTAATTATGTTAAGCATCTTTTTCTCTATTGGCCACTTATATACCTTTTGAAAGAAATGACTATTTAGATTTTTTCCCCATTTCTAATTGAGTTATTTATTTTTTCCTCAGTTTTATTGAGAAATAATTGACATACATTACTGTAAAAGTTTAAGGTATCAGCATGGTGGTTTAATATACATATATTGTGAAATGATTACCACAATAAGTTCAGCTAGCAACCATCTTCTCACTATAGATACAATAAAGAAAAGGAAAGAAAAGAAAAGGAAAGAAAAGGAAAACAATTGTTCTCCTTGTGATGAGAACTCATAGGATTTAGGATTTACTCTTGGTATATATACCAAGGTATACTCTATGGTATATATCACACAGTGGGGATAGCTGTAGTCATCATGTTGTATGTTACATTCCTAGTATTTATTTATAACTGGAAATTTGTTCCTATTTACCACCTTCCTTCCTTTCCCCTCCCTGCAGCTCCCCCCGGTGACTACAAGTCTGATATCATGAGTTTGTTTTCTTATTTGTTTGTTTCATTTCAGATTCCATATGTAAATGAAATCATGCAGTATTTGTCTTTCTCTGTCTGATTTATTTCACTTAGCATAGTGCCCTGAGGTCCATCCATGTTGTCACAAATGATATAATTTCCTTGTTTTTTATGACTGAATAATGTTCCATTGTATATATATCCCACAACTTCTTTA